ACAATAACCACAACAACAACAACCACCACCACAACAACCACAACAACAACCACCACAACCACCACCACCACAACAACCACCACCACCACAACAACAACAACCACAACAACAACCACAACAACAACCACAACAACAACCACAACAATAACCACAACAACAACAACCACCACCACAACAACCACAACAACAACAACCACAACAACAACAACAACCACCACAACAACAACCACAACAACCACAACCACAACAACAACCACCACCACAGCAACCACAACAACAACCACCACCACCACAATAACCACAACAACAACAACCACAACAACCACCACAACAACAACCACCACCACAACCACAACAACAACCACAACAACAACAACCACAACAACAACAACCACCACCACCACAACAACCACAACAACAACAACCACAGCAACAACAACCACCACGACAAAGCAAACCCATAGCCAGAAGGTTACCCAATTGTTCCCCTAACTTACCGGAGTGAAGTTTGCCATGAGGCCAGACCCACTACAAAGCTTCCAGAAACAGACAGAACCTGGGTAAGAGGGAGGTGGTAAGGAGTGGGCGGAGTCCAGCCACCCAAGGACTCTGGGCCGACCCTGTGGTCTCACACCAGGGGGGAACATCTCTTCCTTATTTGGTTCATTTTCTTCAGTTAGAACTGTAAGACCGGCCGGGCAGTGGTGGCGCATGCCTTTAATCCCAGCACTTGGGAGGCAGAGGCAGGAGGATTTCTGAGTTCGAGGCCAGCCTGGTCTACAGAGTGAGTTCCAGGACAGCCAGGGCTACACAGAGAAACCCTGCCTCAAAAAACAAACAAACAAACAAAAAGAACTATAAGACCATATTGGGGAGCAGTTTTAACCTTGATGATTTGGTGGGTTCTCCTCCACTAATCAGAGTGACCTTGGCAGAGGTGGGTGCCCACTGTACAACATGTGCCATGCTGAGAATTAATGTCTTCCAGTTGTGTGTGTGTACATGTGTGTATCTGGCTTAGTGGCCTCAATTCTTGCCTGTGGTTTACATATAGGTTCACCAGCAAGCTTTTGTGAAGTAGGGAACCCCAAGCAGATCTTGGAATAGTCACAGAATCCTCCTCTTCTTTGGGGGAGGGGGTGTATGCTCCCCCTCAGGTAAAGCAGAAAGAATGAGAGTGGGTCTCAAGGGAGCCAGAGACAGTTGAGCTCCCCCCAGCCCCAACAGCACCCGATGTCAAAAGATCTGCAGCTTGGGGCTAAGACAAGGAGAAGGTGTCCCTTCTCCCGGTGACAAGCAACCACCCTGGGACCAAATATATACAGCTTAGCCTTGCCCGCTACTGGGATAGCATTGCCTTTGTGATTTTACTAAAAATCCTAGAATATTTGGGGGCTGGATTTGGGCCTACTTGTTACAGTTGAAGCTTGGAGGTCATGTTACTGGGTTAATGTCAACTATCTTGTTAGTGGCCCCTGATGAGCCCTCACTTCCTTCTCCATAGGATTTGCCAGCTCCATGCTGACCTCAGCATCCTGGTAGCTCTTTACTATGGGACCCTTTGACCTTTCTCCTTTGGCTTCTCTGTGAGGCTACCTGAAACTTGCCTAAGCCAGTTTCCCTTGAGTTTTGCTTTTCTGTTTGGCCCAGTTTAATGGTGTCACTATGGGTCTCACAGTTTCTTTGATATACCTGAGGTCAGTCTCTCTTTAAGGTGGCCTGGAGCCCAGCAGGCTGTAGGAACAGCAGGACAGAGAGACTTGATTTAGAGGAAGATGGGCTGGCATCCTAGCTACATGGCTGCCCTCCTGTAGGGTAGGTGGCGGTCGGAGCAGATTGGAAGGTTAGCCTGGGATCTGTAAGGCCAGCAATGACATAGCAGAGGTAGATTGTGCCACTTGGGGTGGGGGGGGCTTCCTCACTCAACCTGACCAGGGATGACCTTATCTCAGAAGTAAGAGGCCTCACCTCCAGGCCCGTTGCTGATGAGAGAAGCAGCTGCTGAATCTAGCTTCGTCAGCCGTGTCTTTAGAAAGGCGAGCTGGGAAACACTTCTATCTGGGCCTGGAATGAAAGGCAGGCCTGTTGGCTTATTTTTACAGTCGTCCTGCCTGGACCCATCCCATCACAGCACCCAGTCTCTGTCTGTCTGTCTCCCTGCCTCTCTGTCTCTTTCTCGCGCCCCCCACCACTGTGCATGCTCATGTGTGCTTCTCTCTCCGCCTCCCTGTTGTGGGTGCACACGTGTGCACCTCTGTCTCTCTTTTTCCCCTTGCTCATTCTCCCTCTCTTTCTCCAACACACATTCAGCTCTCTCTCACACGTATAGCTGCCCCAGCAGCATTTGGAAAGCAATCGGAAAAAGGTGGTCTCCTTGACTAAGAACCCAGCCAGGGTTAGAAGGATGATGGCTCCAGCAGCCTATGGGCATTCTGAACCCCTGCCCCCAGTCCTAGGACTTGAAGAGAGACAAGGAACAGGAATGTGGCATGAGCTACAGAGAGAGGCTGAGAAAACTGAGAAACCCCGGCAGCATAAATAGCCAAGCCCGTGGGGTCAGGTGGGCATTATAACCCAGGATGCGCAGATGCTTCCCCTAGAGTGTTCCCGGTTGAATAACTTTTATTTAATGTTTAATTCAGCACACACCTTCACCCACACAGTGGTAGGCTGCTGCCAGAAGGGGAGATTCACATTGAAGCAAATGGGAAGATGGGGAGATTCACATTGAAGCAAATGGGAAGATGGGGAGATTCACATTGAAGCAAATGGGAAGATTTGTTCAAGACCTAAAGATCAACAGTCCTTTTTGTTTATTTGTCATTTACATCTAAGCATGTCTGTGACCCTCCCTTCCCAACACGGATTGTTAGCCGATATTGGTCCATAAGGGCAAATGGAGTAGAAAGCCGGGGCCGGGGTGGGGTGGGGTGTCGTGTCAAGGGTGGGGTGTTCAAAAGTCCTCTGAGTATGTATGTTACTGACAACACACTAGGACCAGCTACTAGGAGACAGATCAACTTGATTTAGAGTGATTCAAGGGTTATATAGTTTGGGGGAAGGGAGTAGGAATATCCAGGGTGGGCACAGGTCATTGGCTGAAGGCTAAGGTACTGAGATACCTCATTAGCATGGGAAGGCACTCCAGGAATCTCAGGTGCTAGGTGACTGGGTTCTTATCTGGAGAAAGTTGAACTTGTAATCTTAACCAAGGCTATGGTGACATTCTGAAGGTAGAGGTACGTGTGTGTGTGTGTGTGTGTGTGTGTGTGTGTGTGTGTGTGTGTCTGTGTGTGTGGCATGGGTCAGGGTGCAGTGGAGTTGTTCGAGGTCCCCAGACAAGGTCAGAGAAAGAGAAGCCCTATTGGTAGGGGAAGTCTGCCATTTTGCACGGAGCCCAGAAGGCAATCCGGACAATGGTAGACTTTGACCTTAATTAATTAGCAGGGCAATACAAGTCTGATAGACAAGGCCACATGTCAAGTGTAAGACAAGCAGCCACAGAGACCGAAAACTAAGCTAACGAAAACTCCCAAGCAACCGACAAAATGCTGCTGGTGTGTTCAGGAGGGGACAGAGCCAGGGGAGGTGTCTCACAAGGACTCTTTTTGCATTGACTCTTGGAAGACAGCCTAGGCAGAGAAGACACTGTAGAGGTGGCGGCCATCAAACCAGGACTCAATGGACACTGCCAATTCCCAAATGAATTGGCCCAGCTCTATGTCCCAAAGTTCCCTCATCTGCCAGTGTTTGGGACTCTTTATCCCTAGCCCCCTGGTGTCTCTTAGTAAGTGAAACTCAAGAGCCACAAAGACTACTGCGGAAAGGAAGCCTGGGAAAGTGCAGTCCTTCCATGATCGTCCCCGAGCTAGGCCAGGGTGGGGGCTTCAGAGAGGAAATGGGTAGCAACATATAGATTAGGGGCCCTTAGGCAGTGAACACTTATGACTCCCAGTATTCAATATAAGGGTATTAGGAAGTGGGTCTTTGAGAGGTCTTAAGGTGACCTCTCTGTTTATCTGCCCGTGTGTATCCCAGGGATGGCTACAGAGGCACACAGGTATGTCAGTCTCTTTCTTACCCTTGTGGGGTCCAGGAGTGCATCCCCTCCCAACACCTCAGCTATGTCCATCTATCACATGGAGCTGACCTTCTCCTTCACAGTGGAGACTACATGAGTTTCTTACATAACCTTGCTGTGAAGGCTGAAGAGATTAATGTCCCCAAAGCACCTCTCTCAAAGTCGCTCAGCCATGGCAGCTGTTAAGGATGAGTCCAGTTTAATTCTCAAATGTCAGGCTCCTGTTGGTGTAAGCAGGCAGACACTGCCTGTCTCTCAGGCTCAATGTGAGCAGTAGATAAAATAAGCTTATGGGAAAATGGCTGACGACAGAGCTAACCAATGGGTGCTGATTGCTTTCCTATATAAATCTCGTCTGTCTCAGATGGGCTGACTTTCTTGAACTTTGGCCTGATTGGGATCCCGTGGTTTCTCTCACAATCTAATTCTTTTTGATATGGAAGAGGAATCAACAATCCCCCTTTAGGCAGAAGAATGGAGCTGAAAGATTAGTGAGTCAGCAGAATAAAGACTTCACCCTGTCCAGCTTCGCAAGCCCTTTTCCTGAAGAGAGCCATGGTTCTGCGTGCAAGATGGCATCCTCTTCACCAAGCCCATGTGAAAAAGGCCACTGGGCTTTGGTGTGATTGTCAAGAAACAGCCAGGCTGCTTCTTCATGGAAGGGTATACAAACCATGTGTGTATATGCCTGCATGTGTGCCTTTATGTGTGTGCCTGGGAGAGGGCAAGTGCATGTATGTGTGTGCATGTGCATGTGCCTGTACACCTGTATGTGTGTGTGTGTATGTGTGTGAAAATTCTGCCTTGTGGAAGTGTTACTGTGGTGATGGCTGGATTTGCATTTCTGTAACAAAATGGATTCTCAAAAAGAGACTGCTTACAGTCTACAGTCCTCGTGGTAACCTGGAACAGTAATCATTTCTGTGAACAGGGTTTTGAATCAGAATTGCTTCCTGAAGTGTCAGCCTCACATCCTAAGCCGGCGACTTTAATTTCATTTTAATGGCAAAGAAACTAAACTTCTGGAATGCAACGAATGCTATCTCTTTCCTCCCTAAAGATTAAAAGCAACAAACACAAACAAAAAGAAGCAGTTTGATGTTCTCAGAGAGAGCTTCAGAGAATAATTTTTTTTAAACAAGTGGAGAAATGGGGATCAGAAGCTGCCTGGGTTGCCAGAGGCTTCATCACCTATCCCCTCTAGGTGGCACTCAAGCCGACCACGTGACTTAACCATTATTATTATTTTTTAACTTGCTGGGTACCCACAGCTTGTCTCTGCATTAGGACCAGAAGCCCCTTAAGATCTTATACCTCTGCTGTCACTTCTCAAAGCATTATGCACCTGGGAATGGCTCAGAAGCATTTCTGGCTAAGTGATTCAGACTTTATGTGTTTGTGTGTTTTGTTCTTAAATGCCTAAAGCAAGGGATCTAATCTTCACTCGTGGTTCGCTAAGGATTCGTGGGTTGAGCCTCAGGAAATGAAAGACGTGTTCTGTATCATCTCCTTTCCTGTGGCTCCAAAGCAGACAGCTGCTGCTTGGGAAGGATGGGCTTGGCCCATTAGGTGGGTAGGGGAAGCCTATTTGGCAATAGCCAGTTTCCCAGGCCTGCATACCCAGCAGTAAAACCGGTAGACATCTCGACTTGGGTCTTGTTTGCCATGCATGGTCATTAAGAAGTTCACTTAGCACTGGACTGGACACATGGCTGGGGCACCCAATTATTGTTTTGATGACAAAAGAAAGGAATGAAGCCATGATCATTAGCAGACAGAGAGGACTCTGAAGAAACAGAGCCAGCCTTCCCCTCCCCCCACCCCCACCCCCGGCCAAAAAAAAACTAGAGAGTGGGGGTGAAGTTTTGCAGATGAATACTTAAGTAGTAAGGAAGGGTTGAGGTTGGAGATCTGTGGGTCATGGGACACCAGAGGAGGTGGAGGATGGGGACAGCAGGGAGAACTTCCAGTCAGAAGAGACACTGAGGAGATGCTGCATGGGCTGAGCTGGGGGAGAAGGCCTAGTAGCTGGATGGAAGATGCATGTGGCAGGTGGATGGTAATAGAGAGAAAAAGTGGGACAGGAAAGGGGTGCCAGCATAGTGGGGTCTCAGTGGATACATCCTTCAGGTTGGGAGCCGATAAAGACCTCAAAGATACTGAGATAGGCGTCTATGAACAGAAGTGAGGGACATGGACAGAGATGAGGACTGGAACTGACATGACACATGGCAGTGACCAATATGGGGGGAAGGACGGACATGACACAAAGCCAGTCCCTCCCAAGCAGGTCATGGTCTAGAATAGAGACTCCTTTAAAGAGGATCTATGTACAGAGGCTATGGAACCTGCTCTTTACCTACCTTCTCTGTGGTCCTGGCCATCCATGGGGCTGGGGGTGTTCAGCTTGCAGTACACATGGCCTGAGATTACATTCCAAACTATTATCTCTCCGTCATAACTGGAGGTGGCCAGAAGAAAAGGCGGGCACTGAGCCACACAGAGAATGTCCTCCTTGTGCCCGTGGTTCTAAGAAAGAAAGACAGAGCTGAGAAACTAGATCCCAAATCTGTGGGTCATGGACCACCAGAGGAGGTGGACGCTGGGGACAGGGTGGAAGCCTGAGAACTTCCAGTGGGATGAGACACTGAGGGGACGGTGACTGTGCTGAGCTGCGGGAGATGGCTTGGTGGTGGGTGGAAGATGCGTAGCGATGGACATTTAGGGATGATCCCAAATCAGGATAAATCCCAAATTAAGGGATAATTTGATCCCTAAAATCAGATGCAGAGGGTTTCTCTGGGACCTCTACCTCTTTGCACGTGGATAGCAGTGGGTAAGGGAACTAAGCTACCGTCTAAAGAGGTTTGGTTTCCTTTTTTTTTTTAAAAAAAAATATTTATTTATCTTATGTATATGAGTATACCATTGCTCTCTTCAGACACACCAGAAGAGGGCATCAGATCCCACTACAGGTGGTTGTGAGCCACCATGTGGTTGCTGGGAATTGAACTCAGGACCTCTGGAAGAGCAGTCAGTGCTCTTAACCGCTGAGCCACCTCTCCAGCCCTGAGGTTTGGTTTCCTGCACACAGAATGTCTATGTATTGTATGGCTGCATCGCCTGTCAATTAAGAACCCTATGGCCTATGCCTTAGGCAGTAAATGGAAGGTGGGACATCCGGAAGTCAAAAGAATTCTGGGAGAGAGCCAGGCAAGGGAAGACCCACCTGGGAAGATCTGAGAAGGTAGAGATATGGTACCTGAGCACAGGTAACCAGCCACATGGCAGAATGTAGATTAAAACAATTGGTTTATTTTTGTTATGATCCAATCAGAGTAGAGCCAAGGTATCTATAATCATATGTTGGGTCTTATTTCTAGAAGCATGGAGGAAAAGAACCAAACCTAACTTCCACAGTTTCACACCAGCCAGAGACCCACATACCAGAGTAGAGTGAACCTACCTGCCCTCCACTGAGACATAACTGTCAATGGGAATTGAAGTTACATGCTTCTCTCAAAAGGAGGCGCTTTGCCCAGGTGCCTCTGCTAGAGACAAGAACCTGAACCTGGATATGTGGCGACTCAAGCTGCAGAGTTCAGGGGCCGCTGGCCATGAGCATTTTACATTTCTCCTGTGGGTACTTACTATGTAATGGCAGCGATTGCTCTCACTGAGCTACATTAAAATAGCCTAACCTCGTCCTCATGTACTTGCCAGAAAGCATTCCTTGAGGATCTGGCTTGAATTGCCAAAGAGGCTCTGTCTGCTCTTGGATTATATTGTGAGACTATTAAGAAAGCAAAGACTGATGGATAGCTCCTTCCCATGATCCTCTACTGCCAGATGTCTTACCCCAACTGTAGAATAATGTTTTCTTTCCTATTCTTGGACTGCATGTTTGAGTTGCCAAAATTCACATGTCAAAACCTCAACCCAGTGATTCTCACTTTGTGGGTCATGACCTCTTTGGTGGGTGGGTATCAAATGACTCTTTCACAGGGGCTGCACAGCAGATATTTAAATTATGATTCATAACAGTAACAAAATTACAGAGGAACTGTATTAAAGGTCCTGCAACTTTAGAACAATTGAGCTAAAGTAAGATAATGGTATTTAGAGAGGTTATTGGTGTCACACAGATCAGGAGAACATAGTCCCGGTGTTGGGATTAGTGTTCATACAAGAACAGGAAGAACCACACAGTTCATGCTCACTCTGCTGTGTGACGACAGCAAAGAGATGCTAACAGAGGCTCGCTTTCTATCTGAAGGCCAGAAAGGAAGCCCTCAGCAGAACCTGACCTCAGGACCTGGAACCGGGGACATAGATTTCTGTTGTTTAAGCTTTGTAGCGTGTGCATTCTGTTAGAACTCATTAGCACATCTTCCCTCCTACTTCTAACACGCTAGCCAATCAGACTCTCCACAGTCCTTGAAACGCCCCTGTGCTTCCGTACTGTGCTTAAGCACCCCTCCTGCTCGTCATGAAGATTATCTTTCCCTTCCTAATAAAGCCCTAGCGATCTTTCGATCGCCCAGATTCTGCTCCAACAAAGCTCTCTGCCCTCCCTTTGTGGTCTAGTATTGCCGTTTGTTAGATTCCATGCTTCCCAGTTCCTCAGTCGCTTATCTCTTCACCTGTGTGTGAGCTTCTCAAGAATCACATTTGTCTCTTCTGAGCCTGTCTACTAAGTGCACGAGTATGCCAGTGCATTTATGTGCGTGCTAGAATACTAAATGAATATGCACTTTACTGACCTAAGTGTGATAGCCAAAGGCTATGACTCCCCTGGGAAACCTTGTATATAACTTTGTTATTTCCCTTGGTGTTTAGGAAACTGCAAACTCCGTGAAGAAGGCCTAAGCTTGCTTATTACTATTGGAACTCCCATAAACGACACATACTTAGTCCACAAGAGGCACTTAGTAGGTGCTGAGTGAATGAGAACATATTACCAGGTAATTATTATAAACTGGGCACTGGACAAGGTCTTCCAGACCACAAAGGAGATCAGATGAGGACTGGCTACTGGTTAATTTTATGTCAACTTGACACAAGCTAGAATTATTAGAGGAGAGGAACCCTCAGTTGATAAAATGCTTCTATAAGATCAGGCTGTAGGCAAGCCTGTAAGACATTTTCTTAATTAGTGATTGATGGGGGAGCCCCACTGTGTATGGGGCTATTCCTGGGCTGGTGGTCCTGGGTTCAATGACAAAGCAGGCTGAGCAAGCCATGAAGAACAAGCCAGTAAGCAGCACCCCTCGATGGCCTCTGTATCAGCTCCTGCCTCCAGGTTCCAGCTTTGAGTTCCTGTCCTGACTTCCTTTGATGATGAACTGTGAAGTGGAAGCATGAACTGAATAAACCCTTTCCTCCCCAAGTTTCTTTGGTCGTGGTGTTTTAGGACAGCAATAGTAGCCTTAACTAAGACAATGGAACTTTTATTCCAGGACATGTGCCCTCTGGAATACTTGTAGGGCACGAAATAGCTGGTGATATGGCAGGCAGCTGGGAGGGGTTGCCTTATTTTCTGTATTTTTGTCTTAATGCCTTGGCATGTAAACAATTTTGAAGGCAGTCATCCATCCCTGGGAAACTGTAGGGAGCTGGGGACATTCTGATCCCTAACAAGCTTTGGGCCTCTAACAAGCCACAGAGAGTCAGGAATGTTATGACATTACGAATACAATTTGGCTCACCAACCACGCCCTCTCCACCTTGAGCTTCCTGCACACAGGGACTCTCCAGCCGGATTCCAGGAGAGCGGCTCGAACTCCGCCCCTCTGGCCTCACACCACAACTTGAACCTGGGGCCATCACCTCTCCCAGAGAGAAGCCAGCTGCCTAGACCATGTTCTACTCAGGCAAAAGTCTGGTCATCCGTAGCAGAGGCTTCGGAGAAACCGAGCATGCGTGACAGGCTCAAGAAGTGCGGAGGAGCCTTTTGAGTGAAGGAGGGCTTCATTGTGTGCTACTGTGGGCCAGAGAGTGGGCTGGGGCTCACCAGGTCATCCTGCCAGTGGGGCTGAGGCTTCCGGAAATGATGAAAATCACGAGGTATGTCCTGTATACAAAGCCAAACAAGACCCATTGTGCAAACCATAAAATGAGCTGCCAACACATTCGCGACGTCAGAGAGAAGGTGTTGGCACATTTCATAACCCTATCCCTCACCCCACCACTGATGCAGATTTTTGAAATGTCAAAGCAAATTCCCCAAGTGCCAGTGGGAATAAAAAGCAATCCTCTCCTGACGTCTGGGTGATTGCATTTCAGCAAATCATATGTCAACTGACAAGCTTTTCTTGGATCCACTGCATAGCTTTGCCTTCATAATAAGACCCAGAGCTGTTTCATGGGCTAAACCGACGCCATCAGCCCGCGAAGCTGTAATACGCAAGGACAGATTCAATGCTGAAATTTCCCAGGTAGTCATCCCTCAAATCACTCTCAGGATGCCAGGCTATGAAATATAGTGAACTTTGAAACGAATAAGGAGAATGGACAGTGTTTAAAGACGTTCGGAAATCTAGGACCACCCAGCAGAGCAAGCAGGGTAATAAAATGTCACAGGTAGATTTAAAACTTAGTTTTGGGGCAGTACTTTAAACTTCTGTCTCCTAATCCTCTCCATAAAGAGGGATTTCATGTCTGCAGAGACGTTTATGGGTGGCCTTTTATTTCCTCTTTCTGATTGGAGACGCTCTAGGATGCTTTAAAGACAGGCCAAGAGGAGGGAAGAAAGTAAAAGCCTTTCAGCCTCCCCGCTCCCTCGCCCCCCACCCCTGCAGTTCCCCCTGGAACTTGTCTGCGGAGGAGGGGCCGAGTAGGAGCTGTGGGTGGGGAATCAGCGAGGTGTGAGTCATGAATAGAACTCAAGACCTGCACCAGGGCAGGCACCACCTCCAGCTCCCAGGAACCCACAGGCCCTGGCATCTCTCCTAGCTGGTACATGTCAAGGGGAACTTTGGGAAGACACTGAGAGGGAAATCTTTCAAAAGAAAAGAAGAGAGGAAAGAATAAGGAGAAATAGAGAAAGGGAATCCTGTGTGTGTCACTTGCCTTATACCAGGCAGCAAAAACCCACTCCAATCTATCTCTAAAGGAGAATCAGGGTGTTGGAGGGAGGGTGCTGGAGGGATGGCTCAGAGGTTAAGAGCACTGGCTGGTCTTCCAGAGGTCCTGAGTTCTGTTCTCAGCACTGTGGCAGTTGTGGACATCTGCACTCGCATGCATAACCACCCTCCCGCGCCCCCCCCCCCCCCGTACCTCCATGTAATTAAAAAACAATGCAAACACATATAAACAATGAGAAGGACAGACGGAGGAGAGGCCACTGGAGAGGAGGGCTTTTGAAATGGCTTCATTTGTTACGTTGCACTTACAAAATAGACATTTATTCTTCGGTCCCATCCAACAGCTATGACGCACCTAAGACAACAACAAAGCGATGCATTTTTAGCACTTCAGCTTCGTTTGTCATTAACTTTGTGGTTTAACCCCGCCTTATCCACAAGATAAACGAAAAGATGGGACTCTTTCTGATGCTTACTGAGAACAACAGGAAATGTCATTTGACAAATCAGGGTCAGTCTTTAAAGCATCTGGACCCAGAAACAGGCCACCCCATAATTTCTGAGGTCTACAGATCCTCTGTGAGCACCTGCCTTAGGGCAGGCGGGGGTGGGGTTGGGGGGAGTGGCGTGGGGGGATTTACTTGATCTTCAGAGCACGACTGAACTACCCAGGCAAGGCTACCCACAGAAATAGACTAAGGATTGCTTCACTCTCTTAAAGAGTATTCAGGGAGAAGTTACTGTGTTTTTGCTCTTTTATGTATGGCAGTTGAAGTTATTTGCTCCACTCTGATTTGTTACTTTGACACTTTAAAATTATTGTTGTTATTGTTATTATTATTATTGATTGTTTTGCTTGCATTTATGTATGTGCACCTGGTGCCTGTGGAGTCCTGAAGAGGGTGTCAGGTCCCTGGATCTGGAGTTACAGATTGTTGTGCACATTATGTGGTGCTGGGAAAGAGCAGCCTGTGTTCCTAACTGCTGAGTCATCACTCCAGCCCTGTGGATTTTTGTTGTTGTTGTTGTTGTTGTTAATAAATCACTTAGTGGGGAGATCACTTTCTAAACAGTTACCCCAATGTGCAGAGATTTCCTTCAGCACTCTGGCAGAATATTTCCCCCCCAAAATATTTCAACACATTTTATTCTGGAAAATTCTCTTGACTGTCATTATGGCTATCAGACCCCAAACAGCTAAGATGTTGAAGTTTTAGCTTCCATCTGGTGGTGACTGGATTAAAGGGTGCTAACATTTATGGGTTAGCCCACTGATGGATCCATAGCTGACTGTGCTGCTAAGAGGTAGGGTCCAGGGACTCAGCAGTTAAGGGCATTGACTGTTCTTACAGAGCACCCAGTTTTGGTTCCCTAACACCCTTATCAGCTGGATCGAAACTGTAACTCCAGTTCCAGGGCATCTTAAACCCTCTGACTTCCATGGACTCCTGCACACATGTAAACTCATGTAGGCAGACATACATACACATAATAAACAAGTAAATCTTTAAAAGAGGAAAACAGAGGTGGACCTTGGTTGGAAGAAGTGGGCCACCAGGGATGTGTCTGGTCCTTGGATTTTGGGTCTCTCTCTTTCTCTCATGACCTGAGCATCTCTCCTCTGCCATTGCCCTTCTACCATGATGTCCCCTACCTTGCCACAGGCTGAGACCTCAGAAACCATGAGCCAAAATACACCTCCCCTCCCTTGTTGATCTGAGGCACGCCCTCCCAACCCCCAGGAAGTGATGGAAAGCTAACTAACATAGCCCCAGGCTGAACGAACTCACCTGTTTTGGTTCACCTCCATGTAGGTGCAGTCACAGACTTCAGTTTGATTTTCATCTAGGAATACATTATTATGTAATATTAAACAATTTCTTTACTAACTCTTGCTTGAATCAGCTCTTAGGGGCTACCCTAATGTATCAGGACAGACTTAGCCATCTACTTTCTAGTTGCCTGGGCCATTAAAGCACTGTTTACTTGTGGCTACCTTTCCAGTCTGATTCTGCCCTTGATCTGCTACAGGAAGAGGCTCGGCTTCTCCTGATAGGTCCCAGTAGCACGTGACACGGAGAGAGTGAATGGGCAGATGGTCAAAGCAGGTTCGAGGATGAGGCTCATGAATTTTGCTTCATGTCTCTTTCACCTTGACATTATTTATTCCCTTTTAAAAGTTAAAGAATATGCTTCTTATCTGCTCTGTGGGCATTTTACAGGCCACAATCAGCGATTTTTTTTTTTAACCAAGAATAGACACAGCAAATGGATAAATGAGTAGCCTTGGGGCAGGTGAGATTTACATATATTTGTCTTTATTTTATGTGCATTGGTGTTTTGCCTGCATGTATGTCTGTTTGAGGATGTCAGACCTTGAAGTTACAGACAGTTGTGAGCTGCCCATGTGGGTGCTAGGAATTGAACTCAGGTCCTCTGGAAGGGCAATCAGTGTTCTTAACTGCTGAGCCGTCTCTCCAGCCCCAAGTGAGGAGATTTACAATAAGAGACTCGCATTTAATTTGTGTGGTTATATCTCCATGAAGCGTAAGTCCAGAAGCATTAAATACCATGAAATAGAGAGAAAGGGTAAGAGATGTTATACACCTGGGAGGCTCTATCTTAATTGATTCATTTTCCATTTATGATAAATGCACAGTTGTGCATGCACACTTTATGGGGTCCACTTGCTGGAGTCCCCGCCTCACTTGCCATGCTGAAGGGTGTGCAGACAGTGTCCATTGTTGTAGCTCCAGATTTTCAGACAGCCGTCTCTTCCCCCAGTAACAAGCCTAGGAAACAGATTGTCCCACTAGGTTGACATGACTCAGGTCACCTTGTTGAAAGGTTCATGATATGAGAGAAAGGCTGTACCTTCTTCCACTGGAGTCAAAGGTCAGACAGGTGACGCCAGCATTGCCGTGAGTGCCAATAAATTCTGACACCTGTTTTCCTGTTTCAAGGTCCCACACTTTCACTACCTGTATCAAAGTTGAAAGAGAGATAGCTCAGGGATAATGACTGTCACATCAAAGGAAATTTGCTTTTACAAGTCTGGTGACATGAATATTAAAGATGACAGCTTAGAGGAGCCAGAGAGATGGTTCAGAGGACCAGAGATCCAGTCCCTAGCACCCACATGGCAGCTCATAACCATTTGGGACTCCAGTTCTAGGGGATCCAGGGCCCTCATCTGGCCTCTGAAGAAATATAACATGGTCTTCATGCATATATTCAGGCAAAACATTCAAATGCATTAAATAAAAATAAATAAATCTTAAAAATAAAAGTTTACCTAGAGCCAGGCAGTGGTGGCGCACGCCTTTAATCTCAGCACTTGGGAGGCAGAGGCAGGCGGATTTCTGAGTTCTAGGCTAACCTGGTCTACAGAGTGAGTTCCAGGACAGCCAGGGCTATACAGAGAAACCCTGTCTCAAAAAGAAAAAAAAAGTTACCTAGAAACTATCTTTACTCCCATACAAGCTGGCTTCCTTGAACATATTCATTGGCTAGCACAGCCATAGGAAATTGCCTTGACCAGATCTCTTAAACAACATAAGTGTTTTGGTTCACAGTCTGGAGGTTCAAAGTCCAGAATCAAGGTGCTGGTGGCCGTGATACTGTTAGGCATCAACTTGACAAGATCTAGAATCACCAGGGAGGGTCGTCTCAGTGAGGGTGTCTCTAGATCAGGCTGACCTTTGGGCATGCCTGGCAGGAATTTTCTTAAGCTTGGGTGAACTGAGGTAGGAAGACACATCCTGAGTGTGGGAGGCTCAGTTCCTTGCATTAGTCCTGTGATGAATGAAGAGCTAAGCTCACATTCCTGGGCCATGGATGCAGTGTGACCTGGGTCATCTTTCTGGGCCATGGATGCAGTGTGACCTGGGTCATCCTTCT